GCGCCCCCGGGCCGCGGCCCCGCCGCTCCCGCAGCCGCCGCCTCGCCGCCCTCGGCCCTGGCACCGCGGCCGCCCCTCCCGCTCGCCAGAGCCTCACGGGCCTCCCCAGCCAAACGGTGTCACCTGCTGTCAATGACAGCAGTGCCCCACACTGAAAGAGATTTATATATATGTAAAACTAGCAGCACTTCTTCCACAAAAGAACTGACACAAATGGGAAGGTGGTGCTTATGGACATACCCCTATGTCATCCTTCCTCACCTACAGGCCGTGCAACAGGACCCAAACTTCCCTTCATCCCTGCCATAGCCGCCTAAGAGCTGGCAGACGGCCCCAAACAAGGGCGACAAACCCTCCGCGCAGCTCCATGTTCGCTTTCAGCCGCTGCTCTCCGCGCATTTCTAGCCAAGGCTGTGCGGAGCAGGGTTAGCAGCAGCCAGGCCTGTAGCTCCCACAGCTACATTGTTTTATTTTTTTTTTTTCCCTCCCAATCATTCCCTTGTATGGCTCCCAATCTGTTTATACATCCCCATGCCAACAACTTTGTTTTACTGCTGTTTTCCACTTTCCATTTTGTCAGCTTCCTATGAACAGGCTCGGCTGCGAGCATGTAAGGTCAGAGTATGGTGCTACCAGTACGTGCTCCCTGTCAGGGCTGGCATGCCATAGATAGATAGATAGATAGATAGATAGATAGATAGATAGATAGATAGATCGATCTTCATATGTACTTCCAGGACGCATTTATTTTCATAATCTCTTTAACTAAATCACCGTACGTCCTCAGGCCTTTGACAGCCTGTTATTTTAAACCTCTGGCAAGCCTGGCTGCAAGCAACAGTACAGAGCGCACGTCCCTTCAAGGACCTGCTCCACTTTCCTTTCTCTTTTGGCTGCCTTACCCGTTCGTCCCCGCAAGTTAGGGATCCTCTTAGCCAACCTGAGAAACCTGGTAACCATGTGGTAATGCAAGCTAGTCCCTGCAAATCAGTCTTGACAATCTTCGGCCTCAAAGTGAGAGAGATCAGCCCTCGAAATACTCAGCTGAGTCAAAGAAGGGAGCAACATCGGGGCACATGGTGCCAGCCAGCACATCACAGCACCACAGGCCAACTGCCACAGCAAGAGAGCACCGCGCTCCAGCACAACAGCCTGCTCTCAAGATTTTATGCTATTTTACGCTGGTAAAATCAGTGGAGGTGTCTGAGGCTGACAGCTACATGCGTGTGTTCACTACCTCCAAGTCCTCACAAGAATGGGGACCTGAAGTCACAAAGTCTCACAGAAAACGCTGCACAAATCATGCGCTTTGCTTCTGTCAGTGCCTTTCATTGACTTTAATAGAAACCATTAAAAAGTAATTCTGTTTGGTAAAATATTTAGTATATCAAAATATAAATGCATTTTCAGATCAATCAAGATTATAAATATACTAAATAATTTACACGGAAACACTTATCCTGATTAAAGAGGTATACAAGCCAACAGTCCCAGAGCCTTGTTCCTGGCACCCAACATTTTGCAAGTAAAGAATTTAATTCTTTTGTAAAACTGCATCTTTCCGTAAGCATATGAATGGCAGTCATGTGAACAGTTATGCAGCTGATAAAGACTCTGAAATAATAATAGATTACAAGCTACGGTCAAACTCCTTTACAGCCACCCTTCTCCATTTACATAGAAATGTACAGTAGGTTAGAAAGCCATTATATTATTTCTCTTCTATTTTCAAAATCGAAGATAAACATTTTTATATTGTATTAAATAAAAAGTCCTTAGAATAACATCCCAACTGTACATTTTTTTGTGTGTTTTTATGTGCACATAGTTATAGGAGGATTAAAATATAACAAAATTTGTTTCATCATTGGAATTATTCCTTTAGAAGCAGTTTCAAGTAAGACATTATTTCTGCACCAGATGACCATACCAGGACAGCACACGCTACAGGGCTGAGGTCTTGGGAGAGCTGAGAGATCTTCTTCTCTAAAGGATATCCCTGCCTGGGCATAGCAATATCACCCTTCTTCAAAAAAGTTACTGGACACAGATCATTTCCACCATCACCTATATACACAATTTGTGTATAACTTGCTCCTTGCTCCAGCTTTTTATCTAGAAATTCTTCCAACACTTTCCTTTTACAAAGGTTTTTAGGGCACTTGGCACAGTGGTGAGCATGACAATTCTGTACAGTAAGGTAGCCAGTACTGGTAAATGCTGCAGGGTTCGTAAAGACTTTATCAAACACCTTACGAAAGCCAGCGGCCTCCAAAATCCAGTCAATAAACACCGTATTTGAATCCGAAATGATTATGCAGTCCAAGAGCCCTTTGTTCTCGCCAATGAAGGCCAGGAGATCGGCCATGCCTGCAGTGAACGGAATGGCCACCATGGTTCTTCTCATCTCCTCTTCTCGGACACCACTGTCTCCCAAGTAGGCAAGGACTCTACCCATATAGTCTGTCCAGTGTCCCGGGCGATAGGAGTTCCTTAATTCACTGGGCAGCTTTTTCCCTGGAGCACATTTCACAATCCAGGTATCACTGTTTTCATCTATGATCGTATGGTCAAAATCAAAAACCAACAGAAACTTCATTGCTGTCAGAGTTTCCAGAACAAAAACGAGCAAATTGCATATAAGCAAAAGCACTCAACTTCTATCCTGATCTTGTGCTCAGAAGAGAAAATTTCTGCAAGAACATAAGGAATTGGGAGGAGATCTACACACAGCAAGCTACATGTGGCTACTACGACTGTGGGGAAGGCCGTGCTGGAGCTGCAAACCCAGTCTGCAGAGGTCCAAGTCCTGACTCCAGCTCTGCTTACAAGGGCCGGTCGGGATGTATGCGGGCGCACTGGCAGCGACCAGCACGCGCTGCGGGGGCACACTCTGCCTGCCCCACACCTTACTGCTTCGAGCAGCAGCGCCCACCTTCTCAGCAACCACTTCCCAGCACAACAGAACCGGCATTCCCAGCTGGGCCGGGACTCCAGCTTATCCAGCAAAGGGTATCTGGACGCAGGAACCCTCAGGAGAGGCCTGGAGAGGGCGGCAGCCAAGGCCAAACCGAGTAACGGCAGGGGACGCAGGGGACGCCGGGGACGCAAAGCGCCGCCCGGCCGGCCCGGCCC